ATTATAAAGCCCTCTGTAGAAACCTTCAGAATAGAGTCAGGAATAAAAGCGGAGAGTTTGGTGTCTGGAGGAGCTGCCGGCCTGTGAAGATGTATTTACAGATCCAAGATCTGCTCAGAACACCTCAAACTGATGAGTAGCACAAAGGAAAAGAGCAGATGTGGCAACAAACTACTGAACGTTTTCTTTCCACTAGTCTGAAAGACGACAAGTAGCCCAAAACCTGAACAGTGACCAGGTGGTGAAACCGTGTTTCTGCCTGCTGCGTCTCGCCTCAGCGTGGAATTAAAAATGTGTTGTGGACTGAACTGGATCCTGAATGATGATGTGAGCTTTTTAAACGAAGCTGTCTGTGTTGAACTAACGCTGCTCCTCCTGTTTCTCTGCAGACAACACGAGGAGGGGGGTAAGTATCTGCACTCGCTGCTCCCGCCGTCAGTAAACAGCTGCTGATGATCCCTGAGAGTCGCTCTGAGCCGGGCTTCCTTCTTCTTCTTCTTCTTCTTCTTCTTCTGTCAGGGCATGAGGGTGGTCAACGTCGTCGGGTTCAGACGAGGTTACAACTTCGTCAACGAGCTGCTGGGCCTCGCCAAGCCTTTTGGGAAAGTGGTCAAACACCTGGTGCTGGACTTGAGACCTGAGGTAAGTCTCACTGCGGCGTTCCGGTTTCAGTAACATCAGACCTGTGGCGGTCAGCAGAGGGACCGCCGGATCGCACAAAACGATGCTTCCTGTGAACACGCCTCTCTTCTCCTTCCTGACCAGGCGTACCTCCAGTTTGCGGCTGAGGACGAAGCTCGAGCGATGGCCAAGTTTTACACCAACAGTAACGTGACGGCGTCGGTGTGCGGCCGACCGGTGAGGATCAGTCACTCCATGAGCTACCCCACCATCCAGGTGAGCGTGAGTCTGAAGAACGTTTTAATCACCCGGCGGCGGCCGGGAGGAGACGCCGCTTCATTTTAGATGCTCACAGATCCAAAGTCTGAAAGCCACCTGGAGACCAGGACCTGGGGTCTCATTTCTAAACGGTGCGAACGTCCAAAACAGGGCTGGAAACGTGCGGACGCCGCTTCCCAAGCAAAGGTTGGGATCTATAAAAGCAGAGCTGACGGGAGAAAGTGCGTCCTGGAAGTAAACTCTGAAGCATGCGTACGCACATAAAGAGGAGAGAAGAGAAACGGCGCCTCACACGGCAGAAGGATGAAACGCTTTGAAATGAATATTAGAGTGTAAATAAATCCTAATATTCCCTCTAGTATTCCAGGCTTGAAGTCTTTCTGAATAAACAAACAAACACCATCATTAAGATCATTTGCAGCCACAAAGATCCAGATCCAGGATCAGAAACACAAACAGAGATTCTGTTTCTGCAAAAGCGCCTCAGATGTGTTGGACAGTTTAATCAGGAATCAGATTCATTAATACCTGCATGCAGCAGTTTATTCTCCTCAATAAGGTGAACATTTAAACTGACGCCGTCTTCAGTCGAGCAAACACCAGAGCAGAGTTTCGTTTACTGTTCTCACACGTTCGTCGCCTTACGGAGCCGAGCGCCGAGCGCCAGCGTGTGGATGTGACGCGCCGCCTGTAAAAACACGTTATGGAAAATAAAACAGTTTGTCGTTTACTACAAGTCCTATTTCTTTAACTCGTCAGACTGTTTGTGGAAAGAAATGTTTAAACTCAGGAAGTCTTTCGGTTTCCTCTCTTTTCAAACGGGGGAATCCAGATCAGTACCTGGGTCGTCCCGTCTGTGGGGCCCCTCCAGCCAGCGAGGGAGGCCCCTTCCTGCAGAGCGGTTATAAAGGGGCGGAGCTCCGGGGCACAAGCGTTGGTGAAAGTGTGTTTTTTACCCACCAAACAGCTTCAGCTTCACCAAAAGGAACGTCGGCGTCACGCTCTGTCAGTCTGCCTCCTTTTCTTCCTGCAGTCAGGACGCGTTAATATTAACGAGCTTCACTGAGCGTTTACAGGCAGCTGTGGGCGTTTGGAGGGCCGGACATGGAGCCACATTTCAAGTTGATTGGGATTCATTAAGGGAGCTTTGCTTACAGGTGCGCGTACGCACGGTTTTCTAAGTCTGAATATTTTGTGGCTTTTGGGACTTTTAGTGAGGATTCTACACAGTTTATAAATGAGACCCCGGGACTGTGGTCTGCAGGGTTTAACAACAGGAACAGTATTCTGTTGGAACAGAAGGGGGGCGGGTTGTTCCTTCTCTGCAGGTCCGACGCGGTTTTATGTGGCTTGATGACCTCTCTTTGTTGTTCAGTGCGGCTCCAGCAAGGTGGTCTACATCGGTCAGATCCCCACCAGCAAATACTCCGACGCCGCCGTCCTGAAGCTGGCCGAGCCGTACGGGAGGGTCAGGAAGTACTTCCTCAACAGGCTGAAGAGAGAGGTACAGAACCAGGTCTTAAGCGAGTCCTGAAGACGCTGGGCTGCTGCTGCAGGTCTAAACGGTCCGATGTGTCTTTGTCCTCAGTGTTTCCTTGAGATGGAGAAAGCCGAGGACGCGGAGAAGATGGCTGAAGACTGCCGAGTGAATCCACCCAAGTTCAACGGGAAGCGTCTGACCGTCTACGTCAGCAGGAAGTACAGACAGCTCAAACACGGGTGAGAACCTCCTTTGGTAAAACCGCACCGAGCGATCGGCTGTGACCGCTGTCAGGGGTCGGTGCTGAACCCGGTGTTAAACGGGCCCCGGAGCTAAACTCTGGAGGAAGAAAGAAAACATTTCCTGTTTAGTATCGCTACATAAACGCTGCACATCGTGGCACAGTTTCTGCTCTGTAATGAGATCGGGACCGTCGTCCGTGACGCGTCTTCATGCACGATTAACCCAGTCACCATCATGATGTCATCCTGCACGTATTCTGCACGCCCACACCGGGCTCTCGCATCACCCCAGACTCTGGTACACTAGCGGATGGTGTCTCTGCTGCGGACCAGAGTCAGGACGCCGCCTCCGGAGAGCAACGCGCTCCTCTGGTTCTGTTTACAACCAGACTGTACTCGGCAAAAACACCAGGGCCGGGCGATACGGCCAAAACTGATCATGATACGAACATCTCGTACCATCAGGATCAAAGTCGGGCCGTTATTTTTGCTCCTGACTGAAAGTTAACGTGGTTTTAAACTTTTCTCTGTGCTCAGAACAAACAGGATCAGTAAACTGATCTGAGGCAGAACGTTCAGAGCTACTCTGATTAAATCTGTTTTCAGTTCCCTTTCCTCACCAAAATAAGTATTTTAATAGTGATTCAAACGAATTAAACCAAATATTTGACGAAATATTGAACATTTTAGACTTTTATCTAAGCTGAACGGAGACCAGTGAGAGCAGCCGCTGCTTCTCTCGTTAAAACATTCGTCTCTTAGAAACCGGACTCTGCAGAGTTCTGGATGTTCCTGAAGGCCACGCCTCCAGGTAGAAACGCAGCCTGTCGATCAAACGTACCCGTGTCTGAATCTGCTGCTTGTGTTTTCAGACATCAGTGTCCGAGCGCGGCGAAGAGAGACAGCGGCGGCGGCACGTCGCCCAAATCCTCCAAACATCCTGAGGAACCTCCGGCCAAGAAGTCCAAGGAGGAGAAGAAACCTGAGGAGGGCGGAGAGGAGGAGGAGAAACTGGAGGAGGAGGAGGAGGAGAAAGACAAAGAGGAGGAGGAGAAAGAGGACGATGTGAGCGGCGGCGTTGAGGAAGAAAACCCAGCGGAGAAGATTCCTCCGGTCTCTGACGAGAAGCAGCCGAGCTGCCAGGACGTGAGTCACAGCCACTTCCTGTTTCCCATAGCGCACTTTGTTTACTGTCCGCCATTTTAGTAGTCTGAAACTGAAAAAAAATCAAGTGCAGGACGGACGGAGAGACGCTAAGGTGAAGCTCTGAATGACGAACGTGAGCTGCTTGTTTGTTTCCCGCAGGAGGTGAAGCAGGACGAGCAGGCGGAGGACATGGAGACGTCCACCAATCAGAACGGACAGGCTGAGGCTCCCCCGCCGGCTCAAAGCAAACCCGGCGTGGCGTCTCTGCCGCTGCCCCCCCACGACCCCGACAGCCCCATCGGTATATTTTCCACAAAACGGGACATGTCACATGACCTGCGGCGGCTGACTGACGTGTTGTTTGTGTCTGTCCAGGTGTGGAACACGTGAAGATGGGTTACTACTGCCGCGTCTGCTTCCTGTTTTACTCCAACGAAGAGACGGCCAAGAAAACGCACTGCAGCAGCCAGGCGCACTACGACAAGCTGCAGGTGAGGCTCGGCCCCGCCCACACCTGGAGGGGGGGGGGGTTATTCAGTATCTGAAGGGAGAAGCGAACGCTGACGTGTTGTCGTTCTGTTTCAGAAATATCTGGAGAAGGAGCAGAGCAAAGCAGAGAAGAAGAAAGGCAAGAAGACGGCGGCGTGAAGACTTTAGTTTTATTGAATTTCAGTTTGCTGTAAAAAAACTCCGCCATGGTGACGAGATCTCAAACTGTTTTTTTTTTTTTAAGTCAGTCTCTTGTTTAAACGTGTGTTAGCGGTTAGCTAGCTGCTAACACATTTAGATCATTAAGTCGCTTCCTGTCAGCTGGTTTCCTCCTAATGATCAAACTAACGATTAATCATTCAGTCCATGAAATGTCCATCAGGCTCTCGGCGTCCTGATGATAACTGGAGATGAATCGAACCTCAGAGCAGTTCGGCGAGCGTCGGAGTCTGAAGGAAGTCAGTTTCCTTCGGACGTTCAGAAATTCTCGGCTAGCTTCACTGTTTCTGCTCAAGTCCTGGAACTATTTGATGACAGCGTGTCCATCCGCCCAGTACTTCTGTGCTCCCAGCGGATGGACACGCTGTTTGTCAAGAAATGGTTCCAACCCCCCCCCCATCCTTTTTTATGTTTGACTGGATGAAACTAAGGAGGTGGAATCGGACATGTGAGCGACCTTTAGGTCTCTGATCCATCAAAAGAATTCTTTTGTTTTATAAAATAAAGCAGTTTGCTCAAACGGCTTGTTTGGTTTTTTTGTTTATTAGAAAGTAATTTTACAGTTTGACCATCAAAACATGAACAAAACTAAAAGCAGCTGATTTCCAGACGAACAGAAGAAACACAAAGAAACAAAAGTGTCGTCCAGACAAATTAAATAAATGACCCCAACAAAGTGCTGAAATGAATCAGCGTCTGTTGCTGTTTCGCCTTCAGCTCAGCGCCCACGGGTTTTTCCCCGTCTTCTCCTGGAAAACAACACAAACACGCTTCTGTTAGAATCAGCTGACGGGAGAGAACTGCCAAAAAGAACCTGGAGACTCAGAACGGTCTTTTCTTTTATCAGAAGCTGAGCTCTAAAAACAAACTTTAGAACAGATGAAGAAGAAAAGTGAGGTTCAACAGAATAAATTATATTCAGACAAAGTTTCTGGGTTCCGACGGTTTTCAGTTATTGAACTAGAAATTACATTTGCTAGTTTTTCATGTTTCCTCCTAAGTGATCTGACAAGAATCTATTTACGGAAGAGTAAAATAAAGTGTTGCTGTTTCTACCTTTACGTGGGTCTGCGTGTGAAACTACAACGCTGCGCCACTTTAAATGTCACAAGGAATTGTGGGACAGCATCGCCTCTTTTGCTGTGGTGAAGGATGGTCCAGTGTTCCCTACGCTACAGGAGGTAAGAAAGGAAGCAGCTGCTTAAACACTTCGGCCGCTGCGTATCAGCTGATCGCCGTCTCTATTAAAACGACTGGAAACGCACATCTATTGGCCGTTCAGGTAGCTGGGCGGGCGCGTGTAAACATGAAGCAGCTGGTCTGTTCCGTAGTTACAGAAGATAAAAGAAAGAATAAAGTTCTTCAGACAAAGAACCAGATTTTATCTTGCATGGACCAATAAGGAGCTGGGACTGTTACTGAAGGGAACACGGGAGTTAAAAGCGGCGGTGGCGGCGGAGAACAGACTGGGAGTCGTTGCAAAGTAAATACGGCGACGTGCAGAGTACAAGTGTGAGTGTTTTTTGCACAGTACAGATTATAATAATAAAAATACCAAGTAAAAAACTCTGTCCGCAGCATCGTGTTCCTGCTCTGCATGCCTGATGAGAGCCAATCAGAGAGCCGAGCGTCTGCGTCATCGTTTCTAAAGTCCTCCGTTTTTGCCCGTCCGCTCTAAAACGCTACCCGGAGTTTTAAAATGAAAAACGGGCTTGGCAGCGTTTTCAGAACGAAAACGCGGCGGTGTGGACGGCGCCTCAGAACCTTCCTGAGCAAAAAAAAAAATAGACTTTTGGACCGCAGCCCGGGTGCTGAACGATGACATCACCTGGTACTTCCTGTAGTGTGCGAGGCTGCTGCAGTGCTGCAGTTTGGCTTCGTCCTCGTCGGCGTAGATCAGCTGACACAAGTTACAGAAATAACCGACGACCGGCCGAACAAACTCCGTTCCTGCAGGAGGGGAAAAAAAACAACACAGTGAGGCGACAGTGAACGCATCACTGCTGCTGCTCCAATCAGAAACAAACGGGTGGACAAAATAATGTCAACACCTCGAACGCACGTTTCCAAATACAGAGGATTTACGTGGGAGTTCTGTGTACTAATACTCTGCAGCGTGTACAAATACTGGAGCTTTTCTGTGTAGGATAAAAAGGCACTAAAATACTAACAGGAAGTGATGCAATGTGAGTGAACAACGCTGGCGATGAAGAGTCGAGTGTCTTACCAACAGGTGTGGTGGGTTTCTGCGGCTGGGCGGCGCCCCCTGCAGGTCCGCATCGTGGCTCCACTTGCACCTCAGAGTCCTGCAGCCGATCATCAGGTTTCTGAGGACAGACCACAGATCAGTGAGCGTTCACACAGCGTGCAGAGAGATCCGGCCGAAACAGAACCGGAACGTTTCTGTAAGTACTGCTGCTAGTACTTCCTCTGTGATTACTGCAAACACGCAGTACTCCCTCACAACGCCCCAGAATCAGCATTAAGAACTACTGCGGACACCTCGAGGTGTGCGTCTTCACTCACACCAGGACGAGTCTCCGGACCCACCTGGTCCCATCGTCACTCGAACGAACAACGCCATCATCAACATGTCATCACTGCCACCGGCGTTCTAAAGACCCGTGTGCTCGTCTCTCCAGTTGCTCAGAGCTTCATGGTGAGAAACATGAATCCGGTCAGAACAAACAATCCAAAGTGCACAAAACCGATGGAGGCGTTTCTAACGCAGATCCTTTTTCTACTGTGTTCCAGCCTTCACTGCTGTTAAAAATAAATGATTTGTTTTTATCTTTTCATTAATATTTTACACCCACGCAGCACTTTTATTCCACACAAAAGGAAGCTGCTCTTTTTACGTTTCTCTTAACAGACGGCATGTTTTCACACAGAACCTCATCAGTCAACGAGCGGTGGGTTCAGATTAGGGTGTGACCAAACAACACGACAACACTCCAATGCTATTTAGAAGAAATATTCAATAATGAAACGGTATTTGAATTGGGGGGGGGGGGGGATCCTCCTCCAGAAGATTCTGAGCATTAAACTCTTAATCTGCTGCATTCTGGAGAGATTTTCTGCACCATCTACCTAATGGTGGGTGGGTCCACGATGGTGGAACGAGCTACCGCACGCCATCAGAGCGGGGGCGTCCTTCTCTAACTTCAAGACGCTCTTGAAAACTCATCTCTTCCGAGAACACTTCCTCTGATAACACCTCTAGCCCCCAACCTCTAACATGCACTTCTTCTTCTATCCTCTACAATTATCTTGTATTGATTGCACTTTTTATTAACTCACTTCTTTCCCCCACCGATGTGATGCTAACTATGAGCTCTTACTAGTATGTTTTGTCAGTTGTAGATCTGTAGTTGATGCTCTGTTGATGATTGTTTGTTGGTCCTCAAATCTAAGTCTCTTTGGATAAAAGCGTCTGCCACATGAGTAAATGTAAAATCTAAATATAAGGCAGTAGCTTGTTTAGTGTTTTGTTTTGGACAATGCGGATCTGTTTCTTCTATATTTACATTGCATTTCATGTTTTCCTTTTGTGCAAGTCAACCTTTCTCATAGAATATATGTTATTTAACATTTCTTGTTGCAAAGATAATTTTCAGAAATATTTTAGCAAGTGCTTTCAAGAAGTGGGGATGACGTGTCCCCAGCGTCCCCAGTCTAAATGACACTTATGATCAATAAGAAAACCCAGTACAGCAGGTCAGACCGTCCATGGCCGCTCAAACCAGACCCACACAATGCTGAACCAGAACCACAGACTCTATCATAAAATCCAGTCTGCAGTGTCATCTCTAATTCCTAACTCTTTGCATTTCAAGTTTAAACTTTTAGCAAATATCTCTTTTCCTCCTGCTCATGTTGAATGGGAACAAAAAAACTCCTGAATTCCAGAATGAAAACAAATATTGTGCTTATTGTAAAAAGACTCACAAAATACTTTAAATGAAACCATAAACTCTGTATTGATTAACTATGTATCTACAATAACTAATCCTCAGTTTCACTGCTCACGACTGAGCACCCGTGTTGGCCAACAATTACATAAAATATGAGATGATGTAGTGGTGAAATGGCAGGGTGGGTTCTCAGCTAGCTAACGTCAGACAGCTCTTTAAAGTCAAATAAATGCTGATTACTAAACTCTGAAGGCGGGAAAGTTTAGTGTGTTTAAGAAGTTAGATAGCTAACTGCTGACATTAACCTGCAGCGTCTCCACCGGCACGTGGTGGATTAGAGCTGCTGCGAGTGATGCAGGCGGACAAGACATTTATAATGTCAAGGTTAGGAAATGGTACGGTCCATTTTAGGGGTGTCTGAAATCATATTTCTAGATTACTGAATATAAGGCATGAGTACGGGAAATATATTGTTATATTGATAACAGAAATGTGGCCAGTAACTCTGGAAAAGCAGCAAAGTTCAGAGTTAATGTCAAGCCCAGTTATCTTACTATCACCACTCAAACTATTGACACCATCATCACCACCATAACAACACGGTCAGTACGATCACTGTCTGCAACTACCTGTTCAGTTTGTGGTTTTGAGTCTGGTTGATCCTTCAGTCCCGGTTCAGACGTCTCCTCCTCTGATTCTTCCATCTTGATCTGTAACGTTTCTTCTTCTACAGCCTCCTGTTTTATGTCATCACTCACAGACTCTTTCTTCTTCTTTTCTTTTTTCTCAGACGCCGAGTCATTTTCACGAGTCCTTTTCCTTTTTAATGTCTTGTTTTCTTGACTTGTTTGAGGCAACGACTCCTTTTCTGGACTCTTTTTACCGGCAGCTTCGCCAGCGTCCTCCTCCTCCCCCGGTGTCCTGGACGTCTTCTGGTCGTCTTTTTCTTGACTCTTTTTGTCACACGACTCTCTTTCTGGACTCTTCTTAGATGCTGTATTGGACTCCTTTTTCTTGGCCAACTCCGTCTCTGGTGTTGTTCTGGACTTCTTTTCCGGCGTGTTTTTGGCAACGGATTCCTTTTTTACTTTTGACTTCTCTGGATGTCTTATGGACGTTCTGGTTTTTTCCTTTTCTAAAGATTTCTTACTGGCTGTTTTGGATGTTGACTCTTTCTCTGGAGTCTTTTTTTCTGATGACTCCTCTAGATGTTTTCTGGACACAGAGTCCTTATCTGAAGACCTCTTGCTGGCTGACTCTTTCTCTAGAGTCTTTGTAGTTGCAGAGTCTTTCTCTAGAGTCTTTGTAGTTGCAGAGTCTTTCTCTAAAGTCTTTGTAGTTGCAGAGTCTTTCTCTAGAGTCTTTGTAGTTGCAGAGTCTTTCTCTAAAGTCTTTGTAGTTGCAGAGTCTTTCTCTAGAGTCTTTGTAGTTGCAGAGTCTTTCTCTAAAGTCTTTGTAGTTGCAGAGTCTTTCTCTAGAGTCTTTGTAGTTGCAGAGTCTTTCTCTAGAGTCCTTTTAGATACTAACTCTTTCTCTAGAGTCTTTGAAGATGACAACTCTTTCTGGCTGGCTGTTTTGGACGTTGTCTCTTTCTCTAGAGTCTTTGTAGATGCAGAGTCTTTCTCTAGAGTCTTTGTAGATGCAGAGTCTTTCTCTAGAGTCTTTGAAGATGACAACTCTTTCTGGCTGGCTGTTTTGGACGTTGTCTCTTTCTCTAAAGTCTTTGTAGATGCAGAGTCTTTCTCTAGAGTCTTTGTAGATGCAGAGTCTTTCTCTAGAGTCTTTTGACATGCAGAGTCTTTTTCTAGAGTCTTTTTAGATGCAGAGTCTTTTTCTAGAGTCTTTGAAGATGACAACTCTTTCTGGCTGGCTGTTTTGGACGTTGTCTGTTTCTCTAGAGTCTTTGTAGTTGCAGAGTCTTTCTCTAGAGTCTTTGTAGTTGCAGAGTCTTTCTCTAAAGTCTTTGAAGATGCAGAGTCTTTCTCTAGAGTCTTTGTAGATGCAGAGTCTTTCTCTAGAGTCTTTGAAGATGCAGAGTCTTTCTCTAGAGTCTTTGAAGATGCAGAGTCTTTCTCTAGAGTCTTTGTAGTTGCAGAGTCTTTCTCTAGAGTCTTTGTAGATGCAGAGTCTTTCTCTAGAGTCTTTGTAGATGCAGAGTCTTTCTCTAGAGTCTTTGAAGATGCAGAGTCTTTCTCTAGAGTCTTTGAAGATGCAGAGTCTTTCTCTAGAGTCTTTGAAGATGCAGAGTCTTTCTCTAGAGTCTTTGAAGATGCAGAGTCTTTCTCTGGAGTCCTTTTAGATACTGACTCTTTCTCTAGAGTCTTTGTAGATGCAGAGTCTTTCTCTAGAGTCTTTGTAGATGCAGAGTCTTTCTCTAGAGTCTTTGTAGATGCAGAGTCTTTCTCTGGAGTCCTTTTAGATACTGACTCTTTCTCTAGAGTCCTTTTAGATACTGACTCTTTCTGGCTGGCTGTTTTGGACGTTGCCTCTTTCTCTAGAGTCCTTTTAGATACTGACTCTTTCTCTAGAGTCTTTGAAGATGCAGAGTCTTTCTGGCTGGCTGTTTTGGACGTTGCCTCTTTCTCTGGAGTCTTCTTCGAGGACTTCCTGTTGGACTCGTCCCTGTTCCGTCTCTCGCTCCTCCTGCGCTCGCTTCTCTTCCCCTCGGCTGAGTCCTTGGCCGTCTGAACTGCCCACCTATGAAGACAGGGATTCACAGGGATTCAGGTACACGATCGCAGAGATCTGGCAGACAGGTGAACAGGAACAAAGAGGAGACAGTTTTAGACTCTGACCCGTTGATGAGTCTTTTGTATTTGTTGGAGATCTGGATCACGAGTCTGGAGGAGTTGAAGATGACAGGTTTAGAGGTTAGCTGTTTAACGGCTCTCTGAGCCTCTGAAGAAGTCGACATCTCGATGAAACCCTGAAACACACAAAGGTGAAGAGATGTCATCCAGTCACCAAGTCCGTGAAGGAGAACTCCTCTGCTTCGTCGGGGTGATGGCGGGACACTGACCTTCTGGCGATGGCTGGCCATGATGTAGCGCACCGGCGTCCCAAATTCTTTCACCAGGTCGATGAACTCGACGTCGGTGAAGAAACGCAGCGGGAGGTTTCTGAAGTAAATCACTCGGGTGGACCGACGCTGGCAACAAACAACAACAACATATAAGAACATGTCTGACGACAGAACTGTGTCATTAATAAAAAATCTCCTTCCTCACCTCGCGTTCCTCTCTGACGACTTCTTCTGCAAATTCAAACAGGAATGAGAATTTTAATGTCTTTAGAGGCTGAATTTAAAAAGATTAGATTTAGTCGTCATCCAAGACTCTCAGGGTTTACCTTGGTCATCAGACTGGTCCTCTTCCAGCTCATCCAGAGTGATGCAGTTCTCCAGGTCTACTGGGAAATCCGGTTCCTCCTGGAGACGCAGCAGGACAGAGACTGGTCAGACCAGGACCTGATAATTATTGATCACCTCCTTGTGTATAAACATTTGTTTCACAGTTTCGTTCATATCTCAGCCTCAACTCTTTATATCTCGACAGAGTCTCTGCAGGCTGGGCGGTGATGGCGTAGTGGATAAGACACATGCCTTTGGTGTGAGAGACCCGGAAATAGTGTCAAATGTGCTGGAAAAAGCGATCTCAGGAAGAAGCAGCCCGTTTTGCAGTTGCATTAAACATTTGAAGGTTGTATTCAGGCTGTCAAACTGACTCAGACTGACGTGAAAAAAATGTAAAGGTACAAGCTAAAACCTGACGATGACACAGTACAGTGAACCACCGACGATTGAGACAAAAGACAACGATATTAAGGATCAACAGTGTTCCTGTACAGCTGGTCTGCAGGACTTTATTACGTTAAATTCAGCAATAAGTTAGCCAGCGTCAGCTAACTAACATCAGGAACGATCCACAGCCGACATGTTTCTGGATTTATTTCAGGTTTTGAATAGAGAATAAATCGTCCTTCTCCTTTCAGCCTCTCTGGGTAGCTGCTGTAAATATTACAAGATGCTGCAGAAACAGCGTTTGACCAGATCTTAGAAAAATACAGCCAGAAAAAACTAGAAAACAACTCTTTCTGCATTAGAGTCACTGGAGCCGTGAAAGTGTCGGACCTCAGTTAGAGAGAGTGCTATACTGCGCTGGGATTGGCCAGTCGTGTATTTGGGGCGTGGCTTAGCGAAGGGTCAATTGTAAATCGCTTTGGAGCTGCTTTGAGCGACTGTGGAGGGGGGGGGGGCGGCGCCGGAGCTTTGAACACAAACACCAGCAGTCTGACCAGATTGTGCTCTGATAACGGAGCCGTTTACCGACAGGAGGAGCTAAAAGCTTTTATTAAATTAACTCTTTTCTTTAATCAATTTATCTTCACTCGAGCTTCTCAGCAGCGAGCTTTATGCTCTGTGCCTCTTCATATTTATACAAAAACCAGACAAAACTGGAGGCTGCTGGGAGAAAAGAAAGCGAGTAAGTCACCAGGAACTACCTGGTGAGAATATGTGTCTGTTACTTGATCCCAGCTGTCGTACTTTACTGTGAACGAGTTAGCATAGCGTAGCCCTGACTCCATTCAGAAAACAAACAAGTCCTGCTGACAGAGCATGAATTCATATGTTTAACAAATCAGCATCACCTCCGTTTATTCGAATTAAATCCCAGCTAAATGTTGACTTTGGTTTCATAGCGCTGTAGCACCGTGGGTTTATTCCCATTATCGCATTGTGTGTGAACGCTCGGCAGCAGTCCAGCGATAAAACTCAAGCGAGGATTAAATTTGCGTTTGGTCTGAGGTGTCGGCTGGTCTCATGATGAATCTCACTGATCGATGGATGCCAAAAAGTGTGGAATTTGCGACACAACGTTATAAACGATCAGAGCAGAATTGTAAACGCTAGATATGGTCATATCGCACAGCCCTGTCTGCAGACATCACAGTGAGGTCAGGAACCCAAACAGAGCAGAACCTGCCGGCTGTTCTCTGCTCGAATCACCTGAAACTTTTATTTTTCATCTTAAAGAATGAGAATTTATTAAAGTGCGTCTCCACCTCGTCGTCCTCCAGCCGAGTCTCTGACGTCTCCTCTGCTCCTCTGCTGGATTCTGATTCTTCCTCCTGCTCCTCCTCCTTCACCACAGGTTTCTCCTGCTCCTCCTCCTTCACCACCGGTTTCTCCTGCTCCTCCTCCTTCACCACCGGTTTCTCCTGCTCCTCCTCCTTCACCACCGGTTTCTCCGGCTCCTCCTTCACCACCATCTTCTCCTCCTGCTGCTCCTGATCATCAGCCTCTCCGTCCTTCACCTCCTTCTCTTGATCTGAAACAGACAGAAGAGTTTCTTTGTCGCAGTTTTCACTTTCTCTTTTCCACAAACAGCTCAGCTTTTTTTTTTATTTCTACCTTCTTCAGGTGAGTCTGTTCTCTCTGCAGCTTCCTCCATCTTGTCGTCTTCCTCCTCCTCCTCCTCTTCCACGTCGGCATCCTCCAGATTCTCTCCATCCTCTCCGATCACCTCCATCCCCTCGATGTCGCTCTCCTCTGCAGACGACCTGCACGAGTCACATTTTCACTTGTTTTAGTCAGTCCAGCTGCTGCCGTCTCAGGACTTCTATTGATTTTAATACATGAGAAACTCACTCTGCTTCCTCTTCAGTTTGTTCTTTGTCTACAGGTTCAGGTCTGGAGTCTGTGGCAGGAGCTGGATCAGGATCAGTCCTGGACTCTGTGTCTGCGGAGAGATGACAATCAGCGTGGAGGTTTCATGCTTAGTGACCGACAGCAGCCTGAGTACGCTGGTGTCCTGAGCCGCCGGTCGGACGACGACAAAGACTTCTGCTGTCTCTCTCTCGCACTTCCATACTTATATTTTGAGGGCGTCGCACTGAGAGCACAGCACAGGAGAAGCGTAAAGCAGCAGAGAGAGAGGCCGACAACAGAACGAACACTGACTCGAACACTCTGAGAAGTATTGAGGCGTGAAATCAAATGTGTAGATTTCGAATATTGACAGTTTTGTGCTTGCAAATGTGCTTGAATGTTTTCGGAGTTGAGGAGCTCCGCGAGTGGCGGCGGGGGAAGCTCGCGCCGACCTGCTCACCGAGCCCACTGCTCCCGCCGTCACACAGAACGCCACAGCAACAACGACAGAGGAAAACACGGGTGACAGATAGTTTTAATGTTCGAACTGCTGTTTTTCAGTCATCACATTTGAGTAGTTTAAATAAAGAGACATCTGGCTCCTGATGTACAGAAAATTCTTGGCTTGTGAAACTTAAAAAATAAATAAACAAACAAAAGAAAATAGTATGAAAAGGGGACTGTCCTTACTTTATTTTTTATTATTATTAAGGCTGTTATTTTGGAGCTGTGCTGGGGGGATTGCTGCGATAAGTCATTTCCAGTTAGTGCACAACAGCAGTGTTTGATTTGAGACGCTACCCTGTCAAAATGAACGCACCAAGCGAGTTGAGACACAGCAATCGTGTCTCTTTTCATGTTTACGCTGACGACACACTGATCTACCTGCCCGTCAGATCCATAGACCCTGGGATGCTGAGTTTGTACTTAAACCGGAAAAGTTGCACCAGGTCAGAGAGAATCGTCACTAATTCACTGTACCATCATTGTTTGTGCCAGACAGTGTTTTATATTTTACAATTTTGTTTTGTCTTACAATTGTAAGGACCTTGGAGCCGTCTGCTTGGGAAAAGACTGTGGACAGATCTGTAATTTTGAGTTTTTCCCCTCAATAACTCTCTACCATGGAAAAGCTTTTTATTCTGTTTAAAAAAGTCTTTGTTTTACATCCCTACGTTGTTTTTTTCCCTTCCTCATTAACAAGCCGTTCACACGAGGCTGTTTTCAGATCTCACTCACTTTTTCCCCCCATTCAGTCAGCAGCAAACACATTCAGCATCCAACAATACCGTATATTCACTTTGGATTCCCTTAGTAAAAACCCTTTTTACATAAATTTTGTACTGAGTCCTGTGACCCACTCCTCTCTCTTTATTAAGGGTCCCAGACCCAAAAGAGAACCCTGTGCACCAGTAAGGCCCCAGACCTAAAGGAAATCCACTTCCAACAGTGATTTCCTGACTCTAGTACTTTCATGAATGTTGTCAGCTGAGTCCTCTCACGCGCGTGATGAGCCGACAACGCCAAAATTGTGATGGCAATCCGAGTTTTTCCAAATGAGCAGCTCAGACGAACTCTTTGTCTTTCTGTGAACTTTATTCAAGTCTTCTGCAGAAGGACTCGACTGAGTGAGCCTGTTATTTATCCAGCTTTAGGGTCAGTCACATCATCCCACAGAGACCCTGAAGTCTGGATAACACAGAGAACAGAGAGATTTCTGCTGTTGCGTTTACACATCACACGTGAACCTGTCCAGGGTTACATGCAGTATGTTTGGAATTCCCATTACAACCACTAAATCCACTTCTAAGAAGTTTTCAGACGAATAATTAACTGTGTAGATTTAGAATATTGGCAGTTTTATGAAATCGGAAATGTGCTCAAACTTTTTCGCCGTTGAGAAGCTCTGCAAGCGCCGGCCAGCCAGTCAGCTCATAGAGCTCTCTGGTCCAGAGGAAACCACAGCTGTGAGATTTACGTTCCACGACTCGGTCTTTACATTCTGAGTAATGCTGACATGTCACTCAAGAGACATCCGGTGTGCAGGTCGCGTTGAACATTAGGTCATTTTGCACTGGAAAATGGAGGACGGCGGACTAAAAGGGAGGCGAGTTGAGCTGAAATAGAAACAGAGATCCAGGTCAAATGGCAAAGCAAATAAGGCCATCTCCTAGTGGATCATATCAAACCTGTTGCAAAGAATCTTGGCGTCTGGTTCGACGACAATTAAAGTTTCGAGCAGCGAACCACAAAGCTTCCGACCGACTGCTTGTTTAACTCTGTTTCACGCTGGTGTTGTGCAGAATATACATGACACCATGTGGAAGAAACAAACAGCTGTTCACTCGTGGCGTTTTCTTACCGGTCGTCTCCGTTTTCTCTGGTACCGACTTTTCTCTGGACCTGGACCTGGTTCTGGTCCTCTCGTCTCTGCTGCCTTTCTCTCTGGACCTGGACCTGGTTCTGGTCCTCTCGTATCTGCTGCCATTCTCTCTGGACCTGGACCTGGTTCTGGTCCTCTCGTCTCTGCTGCCTTTCTCTCTGGACCTGGACCTGGTTCTGGTCCTCTCGTCTCTGCTGCCTTTCTCTCTGGACCTGGACCTCTTCTGTCTGCTGGACCTTTCTCTAGATTTTTCTCCGGATTCAGAACTGGTTCTAGACCTTTTCTCTTCAGTGGACTTTTCTGTGGAGCTGGACCTTGTTCTGGTTGTTTCCTCTTTAGTAGACTTTTCTCTGGACTTGGACCTGGTTCTATCTGGTTTGTCTTTAGTGGACTTTTCTCCGGGGTCAGAACTGGTTTTGTTCGTTTTCTCTTTAGTGGACTTTTCTCCAGGGTCAGAACTGGTTTTGGTCGTTTTCTCTTTAGTGGACTTTTCTCTGGACTTGGATCTAGCCGGTTTCTCTTTAGTGGACTTTTCTCCGGGGTCAGAACTGGTTCTAGCTGGATTTTCTTTAGTGGACTTTTCTCGGGACCTGGATCTAGCTGGATTTTCTTTAGTGGACTTTTCTCCGGATTCAGACCTGGTTCTGGTTCTGCTGGATTTCACTCCCTCCTCCTCCTCCTCCTCCTCCTCCCCCCTCCGCCTCTTGGTCTCTGCCGTCTTGTCTTCTTTGTCCAGGCTCGAACTCCTCGTCCTCTTGGTTGAGCAGCTTTCCTCTTCGTACCTCTTAGACGCTGCGACCCGCCTGCAGGACATGACAGGAAATATTAGTACCGATCCATAAGCCACAGACCAGCTGATAAACCCGGTCCATTGTACTCACATGAGGCTCTTGTATTCTACAGAGAAGGAAACGTTGATGACGTCGTTATTGATCTTCAGAGGGTTGGAGGAATAATAATCCACCATCTTCTGAGCATCAGGAGTATTTTTCATCTCTATGAACGCCTGAAAAATAAAAATAAAACTGATGTTGCAGCTCAGTATGATTTTATCAGTCAACACCAACAGACCCAGACTGGAACAGACCGGTCCAACTTGGTCACATCAGTCGCCAAATCACACTCAATGTGTGTTCCCGCCTCGAGTCACACTCATTCTGAGGTCTTGCAGGTTTTACTCGTTCATTGAAAGCTTCGTTTAATCCATATAACTAAATACTAGGGCTGCAGCTAACGATGATTTTAGTGTTCGAAGCTTCTATAGATTATTTCAACGAATCATCGATGCGTCGTTTAAGAAGTACTTTTGCTTGGCGGCGCCCCCCCGTAACGGGATCAGCTGTGCGCGTTTATAGGTGATAGATATTTATTAGTCCTTTCGGAAATTCATAGTGTGTCATAAAGCAAACAACCAGACAGCTGCTTTACAAACGGCTGTCAGCGTCGGCCGATGGTCGTGACGTCCACGCAACTTGCCTACATGTGACGGCAGTCTGCAAGTCGTTGTGGCGTTCACACGACGTGACTGATCGGTGACGGGGTCACACGCTACACGAGCGGACAGACTGTGTCACCCGACGCTGGTCTCCAAACCACGTTTTGTCAAGAGAACACACGTGAAATGTGAAACAGGAAATGAGCGATCCTGCACAGGAAACAGCTGTTACAATTTTACAAAAATTACAGTTATAAAGACAAAGAATGTGGGTGAAAGGATGGATGAGCACACGCAGGTAGCAGGGATCATCTGACCTACATAGAGCTGCAGGTGAGTTAAAAGGTGAAGCTCCCGACATCCAGTTAACTCCTGACTGTGAGGTCACAACTCGCGGCCCAAAAAGGAGAACAACAAACGCACGTGGTCACATTTTCAGCTGAGGTCTTACTTTGGCTTCAACTCAATCAATCAATCATGATTCCAGTTAAATGCTAAAGTTGCTGTTTGCTGATCAGCTGCCGTCGTGCTGTTGCCGAGGCGACATAAGTTTGGTTTTACGGCGGACGGACGGTAACATTACAGAGTTGGTGTTTTCTTTATCTTGATATAATCCCAGACTTTGGACACTTGCTTCTTCATCCCTCGCTGTTTTCTTCCCCCACCTCGATTTAATCGATGAATCGTTTCAGCCCTAATATATACACGCAGTGTTTCACACGGACGGTTATTACAGAGAGAAAGTCTGGGATCATTAGAAGCCAACAGGAAACAGCAGCTCTGGACAGCGAGTCCAGAACCAGCCGACCACAACAGAACGGCTTCAGCATCTGAGCAGAAAGACCCGGTCCAGCATCCAGTCCACGGAGCGGACCCCAAACAAGCTAACGTTAGCAGTTAACCGAAATCATGGCTGCCAGCTGAGATGAAGGCTAGCTAAGGTACGGCTCAGATTTGTGTAGAAACATGTTTGTTGTTCTCCGACTGGTTAGTCTGTGAGTTTGGGTCGGAACGTTACAGAGAAAAGCATTTCTGATCCGGGGACTTGGTGAAACGATCTGTAGAATACTCATTTACTAAAATAAGCGACAGCTGCTGCTCTGGTTGGTTCAGCTTCGTCTCTCATTGGGCTGAAACATCATGTCATGGAAAATTCAAAAGCCAGAGCCTCAGGGCGCTTTCACACCTGTAGTCCGGCTCATTTGGTCCGGACCAAGTGAAATAAATGTTCCGGTCCGGTTCGTGTTCACACTGCAGTTTCACAAACGATCCAGAGAAGTAACCATGAGGTCACGCAGACGTTCAGGTAACTTGTTGATTGGACAGCTTTGGCGACTGTCATCCTGCATCATCAGGACCCACGTGGGGAAATCAAACTCCGGTGACTGACAGACGTTTTTGCAGCACTTTAACGCTTCTGATCTGAATCGCAAAGAGTTCACGAAGTGATCATTTATTATAAGCATGATTAGTAATGTCAGGCCGACCGCAGAGCCTGGTATGAATAATAACGTAAAAACAGGGCGTGTACAGTAATAATTCGGCTTATTAGCCTTCAGTATGCTGTGGGATCGCGGTCACACATGTTTTATGGACTGACAGTGTAAACGAGTACTGGCCCTCCTTTTTAACATTTTAACCTATTAATCAGGGAAAATACCTGCGCTGACAAGTATATGCTGCTAAAAGATTTTCATAAACACAGTGCGGCTTATACAGATCAATTATCAGATCGCTGAACGCAGCAGCAGATGGATTTATTAGTGGTTTAACTTTGGAGATAAAGCTCAGATCACATCTCTGCTATCATAAAATCCTGAGGTTGGTTCGTTTGCTTTCGCACCACAAGTGAACCGCACCAGAGTTCGTTTGAAAGCGTCCGCTTTTGTTGCGCACTGCAGCGTTCACACCTGCCCAAACGAACCGCACCGAGGGGGAGAACGAACTCTAGTACGATTCGACCGGACTAACTGAGGCAGGTGTGACACCGCCCTCAGAGTGACCAGTACCAGAACAGTTTGGTGTATCTCACCTTAGACGGCAGGAACAGGCTGTAGAGAGGAGTGCCGAAGCGTTTGATGATGGTGAACAGATCTGATTGGCAGTCCTCTCCTGTTGGAACCGGAGAGAAACTCACCACCCGAGAACTCTGTGAGGAGACAGGAAACACCATCAGAGGACTTCTAAGAGCTCATAGTACCTTACTGCCCCACCGGAGCACTGCGCTCCCAGAATGCACCTGTGGTTCCCAGAGTCTCCAGAAGAAGAATGGGAGCCAGAGCGTTCAGCTATCAAGCTCCACCCACTGCTCCAGTTAATATTACTAGTCCTATTATCCACATCCCACTCCTGTCCCGCTACCATCCTTACTGTTGTTTTACATCCCTACGTGGAACTTGATACCCGTTGTAGCACGAGCTGCTGGTTGGATGAATCCCTACCTGGAGGAAGCCGAAGGTGCTGGAGATGCTGAACTCCATCTGCTCTCCGTTCACAGTTGGAGGATAGTTAACGTGAAACTTCACCAAGTCCTTCGCCTGATCGACAGAGCCCAGCTCCACAAACGCCTGCAGGGTTCACAACAGATTGATCCTTTAACACCACGAGTGGAAAAACTGCACGTGTTCTATGCTGGAGTGATGCTTCACTGCGCTGCACGAAGGCAAATGTCTTGAGGACACTTAATTCTTCCATGCTTTTATGTACAACTTGCATGATGTTAACATCACTCTACATTTCAAATCTGCCTCCCGACAGGAGTGGAACCGACCAATCAGCTGACCTCCAGTTAACTAGAACACCCTGTTCTGTGTGGGTTTGGAAAGAAGTGGAATTGGATCTAATGTGCAGCGTAATTCCAGATTTATAAACACAACAACAGTCTTTCTACTTGAATGAATGTGGTGAAGACAACATGTGAAACATGAAAATGATCAAACCCAAAGTTCAGGATAAAAAGTAAAAAGCAAAGAGAAGAATTATACAACAATAACACACACACACATATATAAAATACTTCAGTTTGGTTGTGTGTGATGAAGCATGCTGACTCACTAAAGATGGGAACATTAGGATCTTCACGATCTTTCCGAACGGTTCTGTCAGTTTTCTCAGGTACGTCTCGTCCACAGACTGAGCCGGAAACTTTACGCACACCACTTTACTTTTCTCTGTCTGACACAAACACAATAAACAACGTATTATTTACGTTCGTACAGAAGCAGCTGAACTAAACTTTACAGCGTTCTGACTTAGAGTCTTTACCTTCTTCTGGAGGGTTTTATTTGCCTGCGACTCTGTTCAACACACAGAAAGAAACGGATGTTAGTGCAGCTTTAGGGAGGAGGAGAACATGACCTCTGAGAAAACAATCAAGTGTCTTTACTGGAGCTCCGATTGGACGTCTGGGGCTGCCGGCCAGGTTTGCCTTCAACCTTCCACTTCTCTGATTGGCTGTCGGCCCTTCAATGATAGAACAGATAATATTTAAGATGTTGGTCTGTCAGCTGAGAACATTTTTATTAAAATTCAAAACTAAAGGAGAAACCGTTATAATGTCCACAATCTACAAACACGAGTAGACGACTGTGTGTGGTTCCTGCGTCTGATCCTGAAACTGCTACCGTTGCGGTTCTGTCACAGTGACGCTGAGGTTCCTGCTACCGTTGCGGTTCTGTCACAGTGACGCTAAGGTTCCTGCTACCGTTGCGGTTCTGTCACAGTGACGCTGAGGTTCCTGCTACCGTTGCGGTTCTGTCACAGTGACGCTGAGGTTCCTGCTACCGTTGCGGTTCTGTCACAGTGACGCTGAGGTTCCTGCTACCGTTGCGGTTCTGTCACAGTGACGCTGAGGTTCCTGCTACCGTTGCGGTTCTGTCACAGTGACGCTGAGGTTCCTGCTACTGTTGTGGTTCTGTTACAGTGACGCTGAGGTTCCTGCTACTGTTGATGTTCGCTTAGGTCTTGGGCGATCAACGTCACCAGCTGAAGTAAGGAGATCTGGATAATGTGCATCGCCGCGTCACAGCAACCAATCTCAGCAGTGGTTCCCCGAAGAACAAGCTGCACCTAAAAACCTGCGGCCATCTAAACTTTGAGTATTTTAGACCAACAACGTGGTCTCTGTGGGTTTGAAATGGCTTCACAGCATCAGAACACATGAAGCAAAAGCATCCCAGAGAAGACGCCGCTGCCGTCCCCCACACCAGCCTCAGGAAGATCAGAACGAGGAACGTGTTTCTGTTAGTTGTAGTAACTCAACATCGGTTTTCTAATGTTTCTTCATCGCCACCATGTTTTGAGGAATCCCTGCACCGCTGTTATGGCAACGTTACACCATGGAAATGGTCTCAGTTACTTTACTTTAAACTGAAAAGTCCGGACCAAAGGACTTTCTCCAGCCCTTTCTCAATTTGAGGTTCAGTATTTCTCGATTCCCACTGTGACACATCCACCGTTGTGTCCCTGAGAAAGACACTTAGCGACCTCTGACATATATAACAGTTGTAAGTCGTTTTGGATAAAAGCGAAATGAATAAATGTAAATTATGTGTGACACTCACCTGTTGACTGTCTCCATGCGACAGTCCCAGTCAGGAAACCTGCAGAAGAGATGTGAAAGAGTTACGAACACCAAAACACATCAAGACACTAAAAAGTTCAACACTTACATCCAAACTCATTTTTAACTGGTTTATTCTCCCCTCTGGACTGAGCCAGGCTAGCTGTCTCGCCATTTCCTGTCTTTGTGCTAAGCTAAGCTAACCAGCTGTTGGCTGTAGCTTCAAATCCACCGTACAGACATGAGAGCGGATTAATTGAATGACATGAAAATAATCAGCAACGATTTTGATAATAAATTCATCGTTTCAATGACTTTCCAAGATTCTCTGGTTTCAGCCTCTTATGAGAGGTTTTTGGTGTTTTTCTGAACCTCTTTGGCTTTTGGACAACAAGATAATCTCAAATGGAGGAGGTTTCTGAAGCTGAAATAGTTTGAATCATCTGTTTAAAAGTGCTCTTAAACCCCCATCTGGGATGCAAACTTGTCCCCTTTTGGCGTTTAGAATCCAAAATATGCCATTTATGTGACTCGTATAGATGATTGATTGGTTGGCGCGGTCTTCTGTTTGAACTGTTCCAGAAACATCTGTGTTTTTTTTCCTTTTGCAGCACTTTGTAAACCTGTATGGATTGGCAGCATCCCGTTTCCTCCCAGCCTTCACCAAGTGCTTCGTACTTTCAAGCCAAATATACTAGCGGCCCAGCCAGCGGCACAATCATGACTCTGATCCACTTGGTCGATAACCTTTGGAAAGTCTAGAAGAGCCACACGGTTATCATTTAGCCGGCTCGGCTGGCAGGTAAGTGTTTGTCTGTCCCTGCCGCCTCAAAACATCAGCTGTTTAAGTTTCATGTTTGAATTTTAATGCAATGACATTTCAACCCCCCGATGAGTTTGCATGCCTGCCGTTCGTAATCAGGAGAGAAAGTGGATAAAGAAACGTACTGTTGCAGCAGGCTGAGCTGTCCGTCTGCATGCTGAGTGCCGTTTATGTGTTTAATCCACACCTGAAACACAAAAAACAAGAAGCATCAAATGATTCTGTCACACTTTACTGTTTCTACCCGACAGCCACAAACGACGCTGCCGTCGTCACATTTATTTATCTGACGCTTCACTCCAAAGCGACTTCAACCACATGCGCTGAACTGCTTCAACAAAAAGAATTTCATCATCGCTCTGCAGCAACAAGTCTGACAATAAAGTGAGACTGCTTTGAGGAGGACAGGTGTACTTACCTTCTCTGACATCACAATGATATCACATAGAGAGCACGAGTACGGGAACACCGTCGGAGAAGTCCCGTGGAAGTCCCGTGCTTCTTTCCTGGAGGGCATCGAGGCGGAGGGCCAGCTCCTGATGGAAGAGGTCTGAGACTCCCGGTGCCTCCCACAGGTGTTCAGATGGTAGTCTTCAGGAGGAGGGGCTGACATGTGACCAGCTGGTCCAGGCTGAGAGAAATGGGAAGAAGGATTTCCCGTGCCTCTTTCTGCCGAGCTGAAAGAGGGCTGGTCCCGAGAGGAAACAGGACTGGCATCTCTGCCCGTCTTACCAAACTCAGAGGGCCCTGGTCTGTGGTTGTAGTCTTGAGAGGACACCCGACCAGCCTCTCTGACTGCCTTACCATACTCAGAGGGCCCTGGTCTGTGGAAGTCCACCACGTAGCTGGATGAAGATGATGATGGTGGGTCGGCTCTGGCAGCGCTGCAGGTCCTGGGATTTCCCCAGCGGTCCAGGTCCAGATCCTGTTCAAAAGGAAGAGGACTGGGTGATACCCGGTCCAGCGGATACCGGACCAGCTGGCTGCGGTGATGGTCCCAGTCGCTGGTGGAGGGGCTGACGGAGGTGCGGCGGGCGGAGCTGGGGGTATAAGAGGAGGAGGAAGAAGACAGAGCGTTGGGAGGGAAAGGTTTGATGGTCCCCCTCTTTCCTTTGATCTGATTGAGGACATGAGGCAGGGACTCGACGGTCAGGACGTCCTCGGGCAGCTCGGCCAGCAGAGCCAGGTCGCCGGGCTCCAGACCGCAGCTGCTCAGGATGTTGAGAGCACCGTCCTGCGACCACTGAGCTCCTCTGGAGGACGAAGAGGACGAGTAGGGCGAAGAGAAAGACTCCTGAGGCGCCCTGAAAAAGTCACGGTCTGACGAGGCGTGGCGGCGGTCGGAAGAACTGTAAGGTCCAGGATCAGGTCTGAGATCGGAGTCAGGCGGCGGCTGTCTGTACGGGTAGTTGTGAGACATGATGGGAGGAGAAACGCTCGGGGCGTTTCCTGCAGACAGAAGGTATCAGGGAAGACAGGAGATGTAAAATCTGGCGGAAAAGTTGAGGACGGTTCAGCTGAGCATTAAAACACAGACCAGGTCAGGTCTGAAGGGATGAAGCTGTGCAACATCTGAGACATGCCGGAAAGAAAACTGAGGAGTCAGAAAAGAACTTTTACTAAACATCTCACCAACGTGACCAAAGCAAACAAATAAAAATAAATCAAATGTCTTGTTTTGTCTGAAACGTTAAGATATCACATGTTGTTAGAAGCCGGCCGACGTCTCTGCAGCTCAGAATATTACACGTTTCATTTACATTAAAACAGACATCGTCATGTTTTGTGTATCAGCTGATATCACCAGGTTTCTCTCACATATTAATATCAGCACTGGCCACAAAACTGTCTGCGTCCCAGAACCTGCAATCAGCCTCTAAATAAATTCTGGCCCTGATTCACGTCGCGTCTGCTGCCAGGCGAAGCGAGTTACGTTCAAAGTCGCTGCAAAGAAGCGATTTTCCAGCTCGAGAAACAAACTTCCGTGATTGCGTCGCTGCGGCCTATCAGTGTTGAGAGTGCCAGCAGACAGCTGCTGAGTGACGGGGACAGCGCCGCAGTCTGACTGGATTCTGTCCTGCTAACGGAGCCGTGTGAAGGCAGGAGGAGCTCACAGTTAACTTTAATTAAATTAAGTTTTTACTTTCATTTTTGGGATTAAAACGTTGATTTAACTTTACTCGAGCTTCTCAGCAGCGAGCCGCCGTGTTTCCGACTTGCGCTGTTGTTGTCAGGTCAGTGGGCCCCCAGAGCTCTGTGATGCTAATCCTTCATATTAAAGTAAGCGAGGAAGTTCAACTGCCTGTTAAGTTCAGAAAATGTGTGTCTGTACTTTACCGTGAACAAGTTAGCATAGCCCCGACTGAGCCAAACTCCACTCAGAAAACAAGCATTTTAAAAGTTGTTGTCCCGCCTTTCGCCCGATGTCAGCTGGGATTGGCTCCAGCCCCCCCCCTGCGACCCTGTACGCAGGATAAGAGGTTGACGATGGATGGATGTCCTGCTGTCAGACCTGACAAAGCATGAATTCATGTGTTTAACAAATCGACATCATGTTGTTGTTATTTCAACATAATTTGGATCAGTTCATTACAACTAAATGTTTACTTTTGGTTCACACCGCTGTAGTAACGGCGGGTTGATTATTCTCGTTTTTGGCATTGTGTGTGATGCGATGGTCTGAACGCACATTTAGGCCTCCAAACTAACCAAAACTCACGAGGGGGAGCGCTGACATCATTCACCAGCAGCTCACTGACGCCACCTGTGTGCAGGTATCGGCCTGATTAATCGCTCCATCACCACGTAGAAGGTAATGAGCTGAGTTACCCTGAGACCCACCAAAACTTTGATTCTGAGGTTTCAGGGGGTCCTAGCTGGGAATGGAGGGGTCCGATGCCTCCTGAGGCCTCCTGTACTGAAACAACTGGTGATTCATCAGTCAATGGTAGGAAAATTAATAAACATAATTCACCAATGAAGAACTCGTTTTCTCAGAATATCTCTGGGGTTTGGACTGCTGGTCGGACAAAACAAGACATTCAGTGGGCTCGAGGAGAGTGTCCAGTAATTATTACTAATTAACACGCAGCAAAGCTGAGGCAGCACAGCAGCACTGGGTTTCTGGTGTTAAAGGTAAACAAGGAGTCTGACAGGTGGAGTCCGTACTCCTGCAGCCGCAACTGCATCTGAACGTGAGCGCCGATATTAATCAAGAATGAGCCGGACTTCACTGCCCTCATGGGCTTTTATAATACTAACGTTACTGACAGTGGTGGACAGTAACTAAGTACGTTTACTTAAGTACTCTACTTCCGAACAAATTAGAGGTATTTGTACTTTACCTGAGTATTTTCTCCTCCTGCTCCGTCTCAGAGGGAGAAGTTGGACTTTTTACTTCACCACATTTATCTGACAGCTTCAGTTACTTTACAAAGTCAGAGTTTTACACATGAAGAGTTTATAAAAGATGATGTTTAGTTATAAATTAAACTCCAACAGTTTATACAGATACAGCTGGTACATTAGTTGACTTTTAACTGGAAACTATTCTGATGATCGTTGAAGTCATTTTTCATGTGAAGATTTGCTGCTTTTCCTTTTGATTATTTTAACCACTCATTCACCATTTACAGAAGAGTTACAAACAATTAATGGAGAAAATAATCAGCTGATTGATCCAGAAAGAAAAGAATCATCAGTCTGATGCAAAATAGTTCAACCTCAGCAGTAAAATCCTGCTTTACAGCAATGAATGAGGAATAATAATCTCAGGACAGGTTTTATTCTGCATTTTAATACCTGATCATACTTTTCAATGCAGTACTTGTACTACCAGAGTGTTTACAGTGTTGTATTAGTACTTTTACTGCAGTAAAGGATCTGAATTCTTCCTCGTAGGTGAGTGGAGGACTTACACAACAAGACAAACACTACGATCAATAAACACGTTAGCTGCCGTTAGCTTAGCGTCGACAAACCGCAGATTGTGTTGGTGAGCAGCTAAAGGCCGCAGCTGAGCCTCTGCGTCACTTTATTTATGTCGTTAAACAGAAAAACAGCCATTAGCCTGGGTCACAATCCGGCTAACAGCATTAGCTCACCGAGCTAACTTAGCTGGCGGCTAGCAGCATTAGCTCACCGAGCTAACTTAGCTGGCGGCTAGCAGCATTAGCTCACCGAGCTAACTTAGCTGGCGGCTAACAGCGCACAGGGAGAGGCCTCCCGCGGCGGGCTCACCTTCAGTTTCACCCGCTGATACACACACGAAGCAAAAAGTCCACGAGGGAAAACGTTGTTTTTAGCGAAGAAAAGAGTCGAGCTGCTTTTTCACAAGCTAACATCACAAGAAGCAGCTTCTTCTTCTTCTTCTTCTTCTTCTTTTTCCGGGCGACTTGCAGCCAGATGGAGCAACTAGCGCCCCCTGCTGTACTGGAGTCTGTAACATCACATCACTCAGCTATCAACCTCAATAAGGAGCTCTCATATTCTGCTCACCAGCCCAGTGTCTTTAAGAAATTTAAATAATGCCTTCCGGGTGATTCTTACACCCTTTTCTTCTCCTTCTGTTCCCAACACCCCCATCAGATTCCAGTCCCGCCCTGCTTCCTGAACCCTGTCTTGAAATATCTGTCTTTCCAACTCAAACAATACGCAGTGCAAAATGACATGTTCAACATTTTCTTAAACCCCACACTTTTCACACTTTTCACTCTTCCTTTTCCCCAATAAAAACAAGGTGCCACTCAGTCCTGTGTGATCTACTCTTAGTCTATAATAATTTCCTCCAGCCTGCTCCTTTCCCTATAATTTTTATTATCCTTCTGTTCTTCTTCTTCTTTGGGTTTTTACAGCAGCTGGCATCCATTGAGTTGCATTATTGCCACCTTCAGGCTTTATTTACCCTTTGCTTCCATTCATACTAAATCCGCCTATCTAATCCGGTCGCCCTCAGAAAACCAAATATCCACTTCCTGCCCTCCACACTTTCTCCATACTCCAATAAACTTTTTACTGTATTATCTATCTGTCCTATTTGTTTTTAACTGTGTTATCATTTCTTGTCTTTCCTGAGTAAATTTCCTGCATGTTATAAGAATATGTTCTGCTGTTTCAGCCTCCTGACATTGTTTCACACATTCCTGTAGGATGTTTTCCTGTAATTAAGATTGCGACGCCCAATTCTCAGCCTGCTTATTATCACCTGCTCTTTCCTCTTTGCTCCCCTACTTCTTGATATTCCTACTTTGCTTTGGATTTCGTCTAATCCTTGTGTTGTAGAAAAGATGAGATGTGTTTGAGCACCATCTCTCCGGAGTTATTTGAGAAAATAGTTTTAACGTCTAAGTCCTTCGTGTTCCAGTCTGTTTCTTAAAGCCAGTATTTGGTTTGAGCTCCACAGTTTCCGGTTGACTGCAGGCCTCACAAGTTCCAGAGGGATGTTTCCCAACAAGGTGCAGAGATGCATTTAACTTTGTGTGACCCAGTCTGATTCTGCTGAATTGACTCTGTTCTCTCTGCTCTTCCCCACTTTCTGCTGAATCTTGTATAAATGTCTTACTTTGTCTTCATTATCCCATAAACTCTGCCGCTGCATCTTAACTTTGCTCCTTACATATGCTTTGATCTCTGCTTTGCTAACTGGTACTGCCTCCTTTACCCCATTTACTTTCTACCCATTTTAAGCTAATGTGTCTGAAGGCATCTCGTTCCCTTGGATGCCAATGTGTGCTGGGACCCATAAAAACTAAACATCAATCCCCAGACTGCTTATTCTGAATAAAGATGACAATATTTCAAACAATAATCCTTCTTCTTCTTCTTCTTCCACCTTGCGGACTGGAGTGTGGAACAGAGGATTTGCAGACCAACTTGAAATCAACTACAAAAACAAACCCACATTATAAAGACAAACAAAAACTAAAAATTGAAAACCCATATCCTCTCCATTAATTCCGTATGTTTCAGATATTTAATGAGGTGCTTAGATATTCCCCATATTTTATTCCCCACTTCTCTACAGTGAACCTAAGCTTACCTAAGTTTCCTCCTCGCCTCCACATGGCCCTACACTCAACCAGCACGTGCTGAACTGTCTCTAAACTATTATATTTTACACAGTGTCCAGTTTACCTATTTTATAAAGTGAGTGGTTGAGCCCTGTGTGTCCTCTCCTTAGACGGGTAATGACTACCTGATTCTGGATACTGTAAAGATGTCTTCCAGTTTCATTTAATAATAATAATAATCTTTATTTGTAGAGCACTTTTCAAAAACAAGTTACAAAGTGCTTCAACAAGTGCAAAGACAATAATACAAGCAAGAAAACATTGAAAAGACCAAAATACACCTTTAAGATAAATATAAAATAAGTAAAATAGAATAAAATAAAAGTATTGCTGCCATATTTTTGGGATTTGCTCTTTAATGGCTGTTTTACTTTCTGATTTACTGAACAGCAGGGATGAGACGCTCGATACTGACGTGTCGACGCTGTGTCGAGATCCCGAAGCGCAGACGCAGTGAAGCCTCCTGTTTCGACAGGTGGCGCACCTGCCGCTTCTACGCCTGATTCACAGTGTTGGAACAAACCGACATCATCCTCTAACTAAGTTGACAGATTTGTTCCAAGGACCCACAATCCTTTGATTTATTGGAGCGACGTGCTGTAGTAGATCCGCACCTGCAGGCCTATGATGGCAAAAACAAAGACAACAAATGTTCCATGTTGCTGGAGATGTCAATTATTTCTGAATAAAACTCTTGACATATAACAAATGTGAGACATTGTTCCGCTTTTCATTCATCATTCTTGAAACAAATTCAACTTTACGGATTTTTAATCCATTACACCTCATCACTGCCAGCACTCATTATTATTAATCATTATTACACTAGGGCCTTTATCTTTCCTGCTAATTATCTTTACACTTCTGTGTAATACTGTAGATATCCACATTTATTATTATATTCTTAGATTGGGACACTTTATTATATTCTGTACTCACTAACTTCAACTACCTGCTATTTCTAGTCTGTATCTGCAACAAAGAATTCACCCTCATAGATCAATAAAGTATTCAGATTCTGAACATGAGCAAGTTCTCTATGGGGTAGTGGTTCAGACACGTGCCTATATGTGAGAGACGTGGGTTCGATTCCCACTGTGATACATGAGTAAGACACTTAACCTCTAGTTGCTCCAAAGCTGCGCCCTCTGACGCAGCAATTGTGATTGGCTTTTGAGAAAAGCGTCGGCTAGATGAGTGATTAGTTGTGAAACAACACACAGATGTGTTTCATTAAACACACTTTTATTGCGGTCCCATCTGCTGTCTCTGACAATCTGAAAGCGTTTGTGTGTCTGTTGGTCATGTATTAATAATACGTTTAGAATCAGTTATTGTTTCAATGAAACTCTACCAACATGTGTCGATATCAAAAGTGACCAGTAGGTGTCGCCTTGTCTTCTTCTTCTTCTTCTTCTTCTGTGGTGTGATGCGGCTGGTAAACGGAGACACGGAGCATCAGCGCCACCTGCTGGAGCAGAGGACTCACCTGCTTTAAAGATGTAATGTGATGCAAACCTGCTCTTACAATGATGATGCATAAAGTTAAATTAATGTATTCAGCTACTTTATTTATATATATATATAAATTGATATAAATAAATGCTCTGAAAACTGTCCTGCAACAACAAATGAAAATGCTTTGAGAAAGGTTTATTTGCACAACACGAAAACATGAAATGCAATTTAAATATAGAAGAAAAGAATGTGAATTGTCCAAAAGAAGTAACTTAATCTAAAAAACAAGCAGCATTATATTCTGTTATATTTTATTTTTTTGTCACCTGATTTATGTTGGTCCCTTTATATATTTATATAATTACATTTACTCATTTGGCAGACACTTTTATCCAAAGCGACTTACATTTGAGGAACAACATACAAACATTAACAGAGCATCAAATACAGATCTACAACTGACAATACATATTAATAAAAGCAGCGGTAAATACTAGTAAGCGCTAGTGGCACATATCACATCAGTGTGGTAAACACCATGGGAAAGAAGTAAGAGTTAACAAAAAGTGCAATCAGTACAAGATCATTGTAGGGGATAGAAGAAGAAGAGCACAGGAAGTGCATGTTAGAGGTTAGGAGTTAGAGGTGTTATAAGAGGAAGTGTTCTCGGAAGAGATGAGTTTTCAAGAGCTTCTTGAAGTTAGAGAGGGACGCCCCCGCTCTGATGGCGTGCGGTAGCTCGTTCCACCATCGTGGTGTCACAGATGAGAACAGGGACTGAGGTCGCTTTGTGTGAAGGGATGGCAGAGCCAGGCGGCGTTCGTTGGAGGAGCGCAGCGGCTGAGAAGGAACGTAAGTTTGTATTATGGAATTTAGGTAGATGGATGCAGACCCAGTAGTCACTCTGTATGCAGCATTAGTGACTTGAATTTGATTCTGGAGGCCACGGGGAGCCAGTGGAGGTCACTGAGTAATGGAGGGACATGAGTCCTTTTGGGCTAATCAAAAACCAGACGCGCTGCTGCGTTCTGAACCATTTGTAAGGGTTTCGCCGCACAAGCTGGGAGACCTGCTAGGAGGGCAGAGAGGTAACCATGGCCTGTACCAGCAGCTGGATGGCGGGCTGAGTGAGGTAGGGCCTGATTATTCTTATGTTGTATAGAGCAAAGCGGCATGACCAAGAGACAGCAGCAACATGGTCTGAAAAGGACAGCTGGTCATCAATCATGACACCCAAGTTTCTCACCACCCTGGTTGGACTGATGGTTGCGGAGTCAGTTTGTAGTTTGATGTTATGGTGGTCAGTCTTAGAGAGGTTTAGTTGAAGGTGGCGAGACTTTATCCATGCAGATATGTCCGAGAGACAGTCCGTGATCCGCGCCGAGACGGTGGGATCATCTGGCGGGAAGGATAGGTAGAGTTGCATCTGCATAGCAGTGGTAAGAGAAGGAGCAGTTGGTAGCCCTTAAGGTCGGCAGGGCCTTTTGCCATTTTCTTTCAGCCGCTCTGAGATCAGTACGGAGCCCTCGGATGGTATCAGTAAGCCACGGGTGGGACTGGTTTGGGCGAGCAGGCTTGGTGGATAGAGGACACAGGCTATCCAGGCACGAGCTCAGTGTAGAGCAAAGAGATTGTGCGGCATCATTGACCTCGAGTGAGGAAAATGTGTTGAGGGAAGGTAGAGCGGAAGCTACCGCTGAGGCAAAGTGAGCGGGAGACAGGTTACGGAGGTTACGGAGGTTACGGAGGTTACGGAGGTTACGGAGGTTACGGAGGTTACGGAGGTGTGAGACAAACGGTGCTGGAACAATGGGCTGTTCCTGTAGGCAGACCGTGAACTGAATGAAATAGTGGTCAGACATGTGT